TCACGGAGTCGAAAAATTTTCTGGTCGTTCAGAGTGAATTACCATGAAGCAATAACTAAACTCAAACCCTGCAGAGATATCCTTTTCATTCGTTAGTCAGACGTTTGCTTTCGGATCAAGGTCATTGAAAATTTATAATTGTGTTATGTTTTATGCTTCATCTTAAACTTGCTATTACTCTTACCGTCACTAATTGGGAGCTACACCGCCGGGCTAAAAGGTAGATGTACAGGCTGATGGCTCAGGTTGCCATCAATCCCGGTAAACATGAACGCATGATCAAATTGATTGCACAACTACACTCTGGCCGTCGGGGCATTTGATCGACTCCAACCGACCTATAATCCTCCGGTCTCCGGTACCATTGCCAGGCTTGATGGTCTAACCATGTAACCCACATGAGCGGGACGTTTGAACATCGGGGTAATAGTAACTATCCTATCAGCGTCTACAAAAAAATGACGCAAGGCAGTACTCAAAAGCGGTTACTAAATGTCAATTGGAAACACTCCGTTTCAAATTTATGCAGCAAAAGACAAGAAATTGCTGCGTGATTGGCGCGCGGTGTGACGGTTATCGAAAGCTTTTGTACACAATGCTTTTCTTATCTTCCTTTTCCTATCTCTCATTTCTCTTTTATGAACTCAACATTTGACAGTTATTTTAACCGGACTCCTCATTACCCGCTCAGTATCTTTGTCGTCTGGCTCCGTGAGCTTCTCAGTTGTTTGTCGTTCTGTAACTGGGACCTACGACGGTTTCGTAATTCGTAAATATTTATTGATGTATGCCTATAATAGAAACGAGATTTCAACTGTCCTTTAACTGTTTTCCTGTGTGCTGGAGTTTTGATCAGTTGAAGTCGAGACATTGCGATTTGGATTGAACGTTGTTCGGATTGCCGTAGCAGTTTAGAACCTTGGTCAAATTACATTCGGTGAGCTCTTCCACATTCTTCTTTTTCTTCAATATTGTGTTTCTAAATTAAATTTAATGTCCTGTCAACCTGGTCAAACAACCTCAGTCGCACTATCCTCCTCCGGAGAGGCAGTAGGTGAAGAAACCTCCATGGTTAAGGACTCGAGTGCTGCGCCATCTTTGGTGGATCACACCGCAGCACGAGGTCTGCAATGAAAAAGGCAGAAGTAGAAAAACGGTTATTGAGGGATAGACACAGATAAGAATGTCAGGTAAAGGTAACCGTCTTCCGACAACAGCTGTGCGAGGCCGAGACTAAGCTGGTTGTTGCAGAGATTGAGTGCAACAGCGATGCAGAAGACGCAGCATCCCGGTCTTCCAATACAAGCTACAAGGAAAGTGTAGAAACCTATCTACGAGAGAGTGTGCCCAAGGTGAAGTTTGGTAGAGGCGTAAGAAAACTACCCACATATAGACATGACAGCTTTCATGGCTTAGAAATCCCGCTGCTGGAACTCATTTCTTTCGATGGCAACGCCAAAGAATATTGGCGATTCAAACAGCATTTCCACACCTTCTTTGCTAGACTCTCTTATGGAGAAGGTAGAAAACTGGCTTATCTGTTACACTACTGTAAGGGATCAGCTAGAGAAGCAATAAAACCGTCCATGCAAATGGCAGAGCAAGATGGGTATCATACGGTAAGGGAGTAACTCGATAGGTTATTCGGTTGACCGCACGAAGTAGTCAGGGCTGTAGATAAGGACGTTTTGGCTAAGACAGCGGAACTGAATGGAGAATGCGATGGCCTGAGGATGCTAAGCATTAAATTGCTAAGCTGCTACAAGGTTCTAATGGAAATGGGATGTGAATCCGAGTTGGATTCCATACCCGCGCTGGAGTCATTAGTTACACGATTGCCCAGATGCTTACAACGTACGCGGTCCGAAGTGGCGGATGAGATTGTATGCAGTGGCGGACGGTACCAGTTTATTGACTTTATTGAAATGATAGGGGCAGATTCGAGGATTCAGAACAGCCCTTTTGAAAGGCTAGTGAACACAAGGCGTTCACCAGAGGTTAATCGTCCCTGGGTCCCTCGGCGTAACACGTATATGAACGTCACTAAAACTAGACAAACATCAGAATCATCACAGAACTTGCAGTGCCCTTGTGTCGGAAACCACACCCACTTACTAAATTTGAAGGTTTCCTGAAGTCGGATGTGAAGGAGAGGAGAAAAATTGTGGAGAAATTAAAGTTTTATTATAATTGCATTAAATATGGACACCTGGCGCGGGCATGTGAAGAAAATGGTAAATGCTTGGTTCATGGTTGCACTCGCAAGCACCATAGCCTGCTTCACTTGTCGCTTAGGGATAAGTGCCCGTGAATGTGCAAGCAATCATGGAGGATTCCTGTTTCGCGCCGAATGGTATTACTTACCTCGGAATAGCCCCCGTAAAAATAAGGCACGGCGACCAATGGTTGCTAGGTAGCGGTTTGGATACCACAATATTTAATAAAGAAATTTCCAAACTGTTAGGACTAAGTGGCCCGGGAGTACGAATGAACGTTCACACCGTAACTGGAGAGTGACATATAGTCAGTCAAAGGGCAACATTCGAAGTTAGCCCCCTTAGGGATGATAAAGGCATTAAGGTAAGCACTGCATACACCATGGACGATCCATTAATGCCAAGAGCTCAGGTACCTTATAAGAAACAAATGGCTTCATTAACCCACCTAAAGGGTANGAAGATCTGACCAACCCTAGGGTTCAGTTGATCATTGGTTGTGATTTCCCCTTAGCTCATTAGGTGATTAATGGTCGATGCGGTGGGCCAAACGAGTACGTTGCGATGGAAACTACTTCGGACTAGTTGATTATGGGACCTTCCTTGAGCATAACAGCTTGCAAACAAATGTTTACAGTTAGGCGGGAGAGTAAAACTGGCATCCTGTTGGAGGATTTATACAACAAGGAGTTTGAAGACCTGCATACGATGGTCAAACATCACTCCGAGGAATATCGTCAAGCGTTACAAATAGAAGAGAAATCGATAAACCATGACGGGAAACGAGTTAGCATCGGATTAACGTGGGAAACCAAACCAGAGACCATGCCAAACAACTAAGTGCTAGTGTTCCGGAGGTTAGAATGCCTGAAACGCAGGTTTATGCGAGATCCAAATTTATTTAATAGATACAATATTTTATTAAACGATCACTTTCAAAAGGGCCATTTCGACTGCGTACCTGACTGTCAACTGAAGTCACGTACCTAGGTGATACCTACCACATCATTCGGTGGTAAACCCGAAGAAACCTGAAAAGGTTAGAATAGTCTTCGATTGTGCAGCTATCTATGAAGGAATTTGTCTTAACCAACACTTATTGTCAGGACCAAATACCGTAGGTAACTTAATTGTAGTACTACTGCGCTTTCGCTTAGGTAAACTTACCATAGCAGCAGACGTACAAGAGATGCTTTTGCAGGTTAAAGTACCTGGACGTGACTCGGGGTATTGGGGTTCCAATGGTGACCTGATGGAGGTCTCAATCAACAACCACAAGAATATATAATTTTAGTTCACCCATTTGGTGCCACCTCGTCGCCATTTTATGCCTACTACGCCTTTCGCTGCACGATCCAAGCATTCGCAGACACGGGCAATGATCGGGTGAGACGTGCAATTGGACGATCTTTTATGTTGAAGACTGTTTAGCATCGTTCGACGTCTGTTTCCGTCTGTGAAAGCGGTTCAGCAACTGCAGTGACGCCATGAGCAATATTCCAGCGAGCAAAAGGGCGATTAGCTGTGCACAGCTAAAAATGAATCCAGATGCTGAGGAACGTATTTTAGGCATGAATTGGCTTATTGTTGACGATACTTTCGTCTTCCCGTTTGAAGCAATCCGGAAGCCATTCACTAATAGAGGACTGCTATTGCGCGTTGCTCCTCTGTATGACCCTCTGGGTCACGTTACTCTAATACTTCTGACGGGTACAGTACTGTTACGAGCACTTCATCGCCAAACCCTTGGATAGGATAAACTAAGTGATAATGACCATTGCACTTTGGAATCTTGGGTTAGTGAGGTCAACAAATTGAGGGAACTAAAGGCGCCGAGGTGTATGGGGAGTGAACACCAAAGAGCTTGTGAGTCAGCGCAAATGCACATATTCAGTGACGCGTCTAAATCAGCTTACGGGTCCGCAGCCTACTTGAGGGTCAGCATAAACGGTAATCCTGTATGTAACCTCGTTATGGCTAAATTTCGCGTGGCTCCACTTAAGGCAGTTACCATACCTAGACAAGAGCTGGTGGCTGCCGTCATCGCAGTTAGTTTTTGTGATACCATAAGCCGGGAGTTGGATATTTTAACGGGGTCTATATTCTACTGGACTGATTCAACAATTGTTCTTTATTACATAAACAAAATATCAGCTCGTTAAAGCACATTTATAGACAACCGAATGGCTATAATGCATAAAAGCTCAACACCTCAGCAATGGTATCAAGTAAAGGGACCAATTATTCCTGATGATGGCACTCGCGGTCTGAAGGCAGATGACCAGAAGAGAAAGCTGGTTCTGGGTCCGCCATTCCTGAGAAGCTTAGAAGAAATCCCTCCACGCAAATTGGTCTTCACTGAAGAAATCGAAGGGCAGATTGAGCTTAAGCGCACCGTGGCTATCAATCAAACAACTGTCGCGATGAGCGTCAGTTGGCTTCCTTATCATTCGCAGTAGTGTCACGAGCAACAGCTTGGTTGAGGCGCTTTACACAATATATCAATGTTATGTTTGGAAAGAAAGGTACATAGTCACTACGAGTGGATAGACTTTCGACAGAGGAGATTGAGCTTGCATGCGATAATGTTATGCATCTGGTTCAAGCAGAATGGGTCTCAGACGATCAGCTTTCGCTAATGTACCCCAGGGTACAAGTGCACAGTGGTAGCCCCCTACGTGAATTGTGTCCAATTTTAGTAAATGGAATGCTTCCAGTTGGTGGTAGACTGCAATATGCGCACTTGCCACATGACGCAAGACACCCAGCTATCCTGCCCTCAAGACACCAGTTAACCGCGATTCTCATACATCACTTTCATGGGAAGGAAGTTTATTCAAGGCCCGAGCACGTGTTATCTGAAATAGGGAGGCGGTTCTGAATAACCAAAAGTGGTGCAGCAGTAAACAGAGTTCTGAGCAAATGCATTTACTGTCCCAGACAACTGGGTAAATCAGGGTGCCAGCTAATGGCTCCTTTGCCTATAAATACAATGAGTAGTCAACTGCCGCCATTCCACTCGGTTGGTCTAGACTATTTCGTGGCATTCTATATTAAGCGGGGACGGTACGTGGAGAAAAGATACGGATGTATCTTCACCTGCATGGCCATGAGAGCAGTACACCTAGAGGTAAAGCACTCATACTCAACGGAATCATTCAACATGGCCTTGGACCGGTTCATAGCTTGCAGGGACAAAGCAGGAAATGTATTCAGATATAATGGATGGAATTATGTCTTAGCGACTAATGAACTACGGGCTTGTTTGCGCTCTTGGTCTCAGGATAAAATACATAATCATCTCCTAAAGAACGCTGTACAGTGGCATTTTTACCCTTCTACCGTCAGCCATAGAGGGGGAGTTTAGGAACGGCTAATTAGGATAGTAAAGAGAATACTGACGGCACTCTTCAGTACAAAACAGGTGATCGACGAAGTGTTACTAACGGCCCTGGTAGAGGCCAAACGGATGATGAATAATAGACCGCTCGTTTCGCAAAAAGTTGATCCGCAAGCTTGCAATGCAGTCACGCCACAGATGTTGCTCACTAT